GAGAAGATCGGAGAGTCCCCAGGCTCCTTTCCTAAAGGTGCTGACAGTGACGCTAGTAATGACAGCAGCCTCCGAGCAGAGCCAGGAAGGGCTGTGGGCACCCTAAACACGGACACTCCTGGCGCGTCCTTAGTTACTCAGACAGCAAATGTGGTGGGGTTCTGTGCACTTGACCGCGGGCTGCGGAGAAGCCTTCCCGGGCCCGTCGCCGGGAGGCCTGTGACGCCCTCTTTCGGGAGCCGGGACGCTGGCTGCACAAAGTGCGCGGCTGCGGGAGCTAGGGAGCACATGTGAGGGCATGGAACTAGGGACCCCATGTGCTGGCCCTGGATTACTGGAAACTCCTTTAAGTCCTGGCGGAGCTGGGGACCCCGTGGGGGGGGGTGTAGGGGGGCTGGATTGACAAGAACCTCCTTCAGTGACTGGGAGAGTGTCCGAAGTGAGGACTCATAAAGTGATGACCAGAAAGAAGCGATATCTAAGGTCAGGATCAAAGAGAGACAAACGTCCTAACACATAATAGGACAGACCTGGAAAGGGGGTGGGGGGGGTTCAGGAGAGAATGGGGCAAGAGCGGACAGATCATGAACACAGCAGATCAGATGAGGGGAAGAACTGTCCGAAAGGAATATCTGTATGAGGTATTATATATAAGGCATTATACGTAAGACAATAATCTGGAACAAGTGGTGCATTGCAAGGAGGGCTGGGAGAGAAGGGAGGTGGAGGAAAATGCACAAGGGAAATATGAAAACATTTTCGATGTTTAAAAAAATACTAGGAGCGGGAAGTCTTTTTTTATGAAAGTGTGTGTGTGTGTGTGTGTGTGTGTGTGTGTGTGTGTGTGTTTAGCATCAAATTAGATCTCACTGATACAGGAGGAGATTGTCCCTCCTTCTCCAGCAGAGCATCTGGAGGAGGTGCTTTTTTAAAAAACCATATTTACTCCTTTTAAATAAAGTCTTTGTGTAACTAAGCCAATCTACTTTCAAGCATATTTTCAGGCACGTGTGTGTGTGTGTGTGTGTGTGTGCATTCATTTCTTTGTCACACCTAAACTACGCAAAGTGCTTCAAACCGAATAAAAACACTATTTAACGTGTTACTGGGAGGAGAAAGGGACAAATATTCTGAAGCTGAAAACAAAAAATGGAAACAATACGGGGGAGGCTTGTGCAGCCCAGGAACAACAAGTACAAGGCCGTGTTGAAAACACGAGTGTTAATCTCCAGAGTGCGGTTAACAGGGATCAGGGGTCAGAGAAGTGGGGTATCCCGCGGTTGTGAAAAAGCACAGGAGGGGAAAACAGAAGATCCAGAATGAGTATCATTTGTTTACTGTTCTATACTTGCAAATTGGGAGGAGGGGCGAAGATTCTGTTTGATGAAACAATATGGAATTTAAGGAACTCAGGTTTTTCAGACCAGGAAGACCAGGTAGAATTACCAGGATAATACTTCCAAATTGCCTGATACGTTAAAAGACACACTTTATCCTGTGTGTCTTCATTGGAACTGCTAACAGAGCTGGGAGGTAAGACTTGGGCTTTTGTGTGACATCTTTATTCAGCATTGTGCTCTCAAGGACTTGGGAATCTAAATGACAGAGGAGAAAGAAAAATTATGAGAGAAAAAAACGAGCTTGCGCATCTCCAGCTGTTCGGACCCCCCTGCGCCCTCTGGGGAAGACCTGTGGCCCCTCCCTTAAAGGCTCAGTCTCAGACACTCCGCGGAAAGACTCGCTTGGAAACCTTCTCCACGAAAGGGAGGTTTCGGTTTGTTTAGCTTTTCGCTTTCTCGGCCGGTCGATTTCAATTCACAGCTAAAAAAGAAATATCAAATTTGTAAAGACCTTGCTTTAGGAACACTTTCGGTTTTCTAAAATTGCCCACATTTCTCAAAAAGAATAATCTTACAAGAAAAAAAAATCAAACCTCAAACTGCGACAAAGAAAGAGTCTATCAACAACAACAACGAAAACCCCCTTTTTTAGAGAGCGAGGGGAGCCGAGGGAGGAGGTGGGAGGGACCACAGTCCCTGCGCGGGAGGCTGGAGAGCGGGGTAGAGGCTCCTGACGAACGCAAAGGCGGGGCCTCAGCAGGTTCAAGTCCACCAGCCGCTCCAGGAAGAAAGAGTGTCTCCAAGATGATTTCCAGGAGAAATCGCGCCTGCGATTTACAGGTTCGGGATCCGAGGGACGGTGAGCTATGAGTCCACTACAGGGCAGTGAGTTTGGTTCTGACATCGCTCTGAGGCGATTGCTCCTCTTTCTCCGGCGGAGTCACTCCCAGAGAGGCGCCTCTTCGGGGTTCACAGCGCATCTCCCTGTGGACAAGGTCAGCAGAGCTCCCCGCGCCTGGAAAAGGCGAGCAAAGTCACAGACCAGATGGTACAGGCGGGCTTGGGGTGCGGAGACTTGAAGGGAGAAACTGCATCCATCCCCCTCTAAGTTCTTCTCGGTTTAAATCGAGGTTCAGATCTGTGGTTCAGGGATCGCTGTGACTCAAGTCCCCTGGGTGGCAGCTGACAACAGCCTTTTCCCAGACAGGAGCGCTAGGGCTCTGTGGTCACCTGAAATCTGCTGACCTTCATTCACAACACAAAATCCACGGATGGATTATAATACACGCAGTGATCACACCCTGTCGTCCCAGAAGCTTCAGAAACACTGAAGCTTTCAGAATGAATTCATGTTGATGGCTGAAATACAACCTTTCTTACCTTTCTACAACCTCAGAAAGGTTTCCACCTGTTTTAATGGCCATTTGGGGAGATTTCTAATAGATTTCCCCAGCAGAAGTTACAATATTTGTCATCATGTAGTTGATAAAATGAGCACTAAAGCCTGTTAGCTCTTAAAATAAGATTTTGACAATTTCAGGGTTTCTTTCTATTTTCTTATGCAATTAGAAAATTAGAAGAAATTATTTCAACTTCTTACAAGAAATTACAACTAAGCATCTAAGGTAATTGTGAGCATTTTAAAAAAAAACAAATATATTCTCTTCACATATGGCTATTAATATTTTTCCATTGAAAAAGATACTACAATAGAAATATTGGCAGGAGAAATATAGGAATGGGAGTGGGCAGCCGTGCGGGGGCCCCAGATGATGCTCTCCAGGGGAAGGACGAAGCAGGACAGGGCAGCCACACTAAGAACTGTGTGCTGTCCACAGGAGCAGTGGTTCCGAAATCACTACCTAACTTGGGAGGGACTGGAGAGCATCACGCTGAGAGAACCAACTCAGTCCCTTAAGGACAAGTACTGTATAAGACCATTATTGTAGAATGTGTATGAGGATCCAAGGGAGAGGTGGAGAGCACAGGGGTGAGGATGGGCTGTGGGTGGGGGGTGGTTGATGATAAGGTCACACAGTTTGATGGGTGGGTTAAGGAAATAGAAAAGATAAAGTAAACCAGCATAAAATTTCCTTTTTTTAATTATCATTAATTTTAAAGAAAGTTTACAGAGACTTAGGGTTTCCAGTCAATAATTGTTGCACTTTTCTCCCTGCCCACCTTTTCCCTCCCAGTTCATTTTTTTCCTTGATAAGTAAAAGAAAAACTCTTTTATTTTTATCAGTCCCTCCCCCAAGTCCACTGGGCAATGCAGGCTTCATTCTAGACTCCTGTTGTGACGATAACACCTAATCATATATCCCTTTTAAACAGTTCGTTCCCTCATCTGTTGCAATGCAGTATATATCATTCCACCCTTCTTCTCTGTCTTCCCTCAAACCCAATGTCAGTCCTGTTTTACAATTGTGGCTGTAGGCAATATTTGTCCTGTTATGACTGAGATATTTCACTCAGCAGATGTCCTCTAGGGTCATCCACTTTGCATAATATATCATGAGTTTCTTATTTGTCAGTGCTGCGTAGTATTCCATTGTGTGAATATGCCAACAGATGAAGAAATGTTCAAAAGCCCTCCTTCTAAGAGAGATGCAAAAATCAAAAACAACTATGAGATGTCATCTCACCCCAGTAACAACAGCAACATTCAACAGAGCTGAAAACAACAAATGTTGGAGAGGTTGTGGAGAAACTGGAACCTTTATTCACTGTTGGTGGGAGTGTAAAATGGTTCAACCACTATGGAAGGCAGTATGGCACTTTCTCAAAGGATGCAAATAGAAATACTATTTGAGCCAGCAAGTCCACTTCTGGGAATTTACCCTAAAGAAACCAGAATTGCCGCCAAGCAAATATATATACACCCATGTTTATTGTGTCTTTGTTCGCAATAGCAAAGAGCTGGAAACAACCCAAGTGCCCATCAACAAATGAATGGATAAAATTTTATATTTAAAAAAGAACTGTGTGCTATTACCAGTGGGAATGCAGTTAAGACACATGTATGACTTTTGAGGTATTTCGAATCTGAAGTTGCACACAGTTTTGCAGCTGGTGGTTATTAATTCACAAGGACACAGTCAGGATCCAGAGAGGCACTTGACTTTCAGCAAGAAACACAGATGGGACATGTTTCCTCTGCTCAGGTGTCTACATGCACCAGAGATCCAGCCATCAGCACCAAGAGAAAAAGGCACCATGGAACCAGGTCAGGAGCAGAAGGTCATCAACCATGGACACAGGGCCTGTGTGCTGCATCTGGAGGGTTAACAGGACCTGCTGGAGCCTTCAAAAAGGAAACACATATTTGAGCAAGTCCCTGAGGAACTCCTGGGACACTTATTCCCTGTTACCCTGTGGCTCACTCCCCCTCCCAGGGTCCCCAGGTAGTTTCTGCACTTCCCTTGTGCCCCTCTTCCTTGCACCCTATCCCTGGACCCATTTCCTCCCTCCTCCTGTTCATCAACAGCCAACCAGGTGGTCTGGACACAGCATTAGTGCCAGGAGTGAATTTCCCTGCCCCCTTCCTCAGGCCTTGGT